CGCGAAGGCGGAACATCGACTCACATCCGGACTACGAAGCCCAACGAGATGTTGAATGTGTCGCTTGAACTGCAAAAGGCGTCGTAATGGAAAACCTTCGATTTAGTTACAGTGTCAATCTGCGTTTCTATTGCATAACAGAGCACTAAGAGAACAGTTGAAACGAACTCAGGCGCGGAGCTGTAGGTCCGTCAGCTAGTCTTTAGCTCCCTCTTTAAGGCCCCAAAAGCGGCCCAAGCTGCTGCTTCCTGTTTAGTTCTTCTTTCAGATCGCCTTCATGTTTGAATGCCCAAGATCGTAAGAAGCGTCTCCGCTGTTGGAGAGCCTTATAATTCCATTTTCTGATCCTCGCAAAAGGCGTTTTCTACGAATTGAGTCTTTCTTTGGTTGATTTGCAGTCCTATCCGCTTAACTTCATTTAGTTCTTTCAACACCGTCTTCGCTTCAGCGGTATTTCTCGAGAAGAGAACAATGTCGTCCGCAAAACGAAGTCTCAAGAGGAATAATCAACTCGTATATCTCTCTCGTTCCAATCCAGTGATTTCATAATCCACTGCAAGGCGGCGGAAACATGGTGACACATGTTGACACCTTATCGAGCCCCCTTTGAAATTGGCACGCTAAGAGGGCAGTGGAGAAGCTGCACCGTTGTGGAGCGGTTCTTGTGGCATTCGACCAATGTCCTTACGTAATACGGGTCCCCCTTCCCCTTGGTCGAGGAGTGACTGGATGGCATTAGTCTCGAAGCTGGCAAATGCTCGTTCTCTTGCCAAACTTCGACAATCTCCGAAACCGTCTGGATGTATACGCAGCTAAATCCTCGGGGTCAACTTGTTCTAACTATACGATGCCTAAATATGCGACTGGGAATAATCTTCGTAAAAGCTTGTCGGGCACGTTGCAGGCTAATGAGACGGTAGTTCCCAAGATCCTTCCTATCGCCCTTTTTATGAAGGGCGGTTGTTTAGGAGGTCTTCACTGGTTGGAGATCCTTTCCTTATGAAAAGACATTGGGTACGCCGCTAGTACGATGGTCTATTGCGGCGCCTACTCCAGCATTATTTCTTCAGTAGGTGAAAGGGTTTGACACGGGTCTTGATGAGCGGAAGAGAATGGTGTCGAATTCCTTCTTGATCGATTCCTTTTCTGTCGAGAAGATGTGCTCGTCTCGTCTTCCTTTAGTAATGTTGTCAGAGGTAAACGATAAGATCCTGGCGGTAATTCATTGTACTTCTCCTTCTTTGTGCTGCTTTCGGAAGTTTCGAGTGCCTATATTCCAAGTCTTCTTGCGAAGCTCTTCTGCAACTAGTATTGGCAGTCGCTCGGGATGTGATGCAGTGGATTCAGCCTCAGTGCTCTCCTCCTCTCGCAGACCCTTGGTGGCTTTCAAAATTTTTTCCAAGCCGCTCGTTCGGGCATTGAGACGCTCTAACCCAAAGGCTTTCATCC